TTTTAGCAAAAGAAAAGCCAGTTAAATTTTAATATAGACAAAGAAGTTTGCACTAATATTAGCCAAAGTTTAATTGATTATCATAATTGCAGTAAAAAATTACCTCCTTACTAATATTTATTTTCATGTGAGCAACAATCCTTATTGAGCTTTCAGTTCTTGGTCAGCACATAAATGACATTGATGGTCTTTAGAAAGGGATATTAATTAAAAATCAGCAGGGTCCGAATAAAGGAAATCATCAACCCGTACAGGTCCGGAGACATTTTAAATTATAATCTGTTCCTTTAAACAGAATTTAAAACTGAAATAAAATGAGGTTTTTATGCATCCATGTTATGCATTGAATTTTAAAATAATAAAATGTAAAAAGGAAAATGGAACATTTCTCTATTTTAAAATTTAAAAAGTGTTTTTAAGAGAAAAACAATGGTTCAGTTTGGTATATGGACAATTTCCTGACACACCTGAACTGACCTTTTTTTTTTCTTTTTTATGGCTTAATGAGAGAAGTGGGCCTTACAGTGGCTCACAAATAAGCCATCCCAGGCTTATTTGTGAAACTAAGATTGTTTATTTAAATGATTGGATGCAAACTATTAGTAATTCAACAGACCAGGAAGCAGATTTCTCATCTCGATCAAAATATTTATTTTATACCAAGTAGCTTAAAAGTTTAATCAAATCCAGTGAAAATGCCCAGGAGCGCCTCTCACAACTTCAAAAGAAACTTCTCATCTCAGGCACGGATGAAGAGATACTAAGTTTGGAAGCAGAGAACAAACATAGTCATACAAACCATGTATGATCCTAATTATCCCTGTTACAAAAATCCACAACAAAGCGAAAATATTTGAGCAGAAACTGAACATATGCTGGCTGGATGATGGTGGGGATTTTTTTCATATGTCATATTAAATTAAGCTTTCATGTCTACATGTTTTGTTCCTGAATTTCATAATAATATAGCACATGCTCTCCTTGAGCCCAGAGTCGGAGCGAGAGGGGAGGGACAGGCGGAGGCTGTAGGGGCGGAGCGGTGAAGTAGGATGTGGGATTTCGGGGCTAGACACCGTGCGGTAATTTATAAGTGTTTTAAATCAGGTTGGGTCAGGATTAGCCAGCAGGTGGGTCTGGATCCGGACCGCGGTCCACTAATCCCTGACCTCTGGTGTATAGAAATTACTGAATAAATTACTAAAACGTGGGACTAATTTGAGACATTAGGCTGTAAATCTGTGAAAACCAAGTACAGTTCCCTTCTAATAATTCTGCTGTTCTGATTTATATCTGCTTTATACGTTCCATAACAAATTCTAGCCTATCTCTGATGTACAGCTTACTACAGGGTTGAGGCTGACCTTTTGTAAAAAAAGATAAACTATTCTGCTGCCATACAGCAGAAATTGGCCAATCAGCTATCAGCTTATCAGCTAATTTACACAGACCCCCTCTCTTTCCAGTCCGCCAAATGTCACATCATTTTCCTGTGGGTAGTTTCAAAGTCCTTGTATCTGTCCTCAATCTCTTGCTTTTTATTGGAAATTTGCTTGTCTCTTACCTCTCATAGTTGCATCCTTTGTGCGAGGCCTCATCAGAGAAGTTCCCCTGAGAGCAGGAGGAACACGAAGGCTTCCTGAGAGTGGGCTGCCACAGGGCGGCTCCCTGATCCATCAGATCTGGAGGCGTCCCTGTGTGCAAAACCAAACTCATCCTCATTATCACTTTTAAAAAACTGTGCTTCCAGAGGCTTTTGGGGTAAATTACACTAGCACAGGGAGGATTTTAAACACAGGAGCAAACTCTCCAGCAGAATGTGATCACCGCTGCACTTTAAGAAATGGAAATTTCATGAGAGCTGTACAAACTGAAATTTTTTTTTGTATACACTGTGTGTACACAAAATGACAATAAAAGTAGTTTAAGTCTAAGTCAAAGAATGATGCTGATCAGCTGTGACCTGTTTGGAGTGCTTCATAGAACAGCTTAATTCCTGGTTGAAGACACAGAAACATTTAATCTTAAAGACACCATACAGTTGTTAGATATTTTCTAGAAAAACATAAAACAATTAAGATTAGCAGACAAAATCAGGATTCCAACCCAGTTCTTGTTTCAATTTGCATATTTTTCTATGGATGATGTAGAAACAGACTGTGTAGGAAGCCTGGATATTTGATAAATCCACCCCTGAGCCATTAAAAAGGTTTCTGAAAGGTTAACTGCATTGAGATGTGGTTGGAAAGGCACAATACAAGTAGCTTTAATAATGCCGCACATCAATAAGAATGGCCAAAGGTACAGTCTAGACCAGAAGGGAATTAGACACGAGGAATTAAATAGAGGAAAGCTGACGAGCCCATGTGTGACAGTGTTACAGCTGCTTTCTGTGAGTGAGGGGGATTGTTCATGACGGCTGCAGCACCTCCTGGGTGCAACCAGAGTCCCTGTATGGGAGGCGGACTGTCCTTTCGATTTTAGGGAAAGAGAAAATAATCAGATGGCGGTGCTGGGATACGATCACTGAAACAAACAAGGAGCGACATTTTCATTTTATCGCCACAATCTCAGATCTGTTCGCCCCAAGGAAGGGATTAGAAACTCACTGAAATCAGAGAGGCTGTTTGGGAAGATGATGCGGAAGACGTAGTCTGTGGCTTCATCCTCCTCCTTGTCAGAGACCGACTCTGTAGATCCAGATCCCACAGGGACCCTCTTCCTCAGTTTGGGAAACACCTTCCCCTGAAAACAGGGTCAGACTGAAGTCAACAACAAAAATGTAAACCTTTAGGAAACCAGTTATGTTAGCTCTACCTCCACTAATATTGTGTTTGCCTTTGATTTCCACAGTGCATCTGATTATCAATTAAAATTTAAAATCTGACAAAGTTAACGAGAGTAAATATAAAATGCAGTTACTAAGAGAGGATTTCAGGCTAGAAAAACGCAATTAGTACTGTTTCATTAAAATATATAATTAAGACCTTCTAAATATAATAACAGCTTGATCTAACAAATGCTAATGGCCATTTGTGGTCAAATACAGTCAAATAGACTGTTACCTTACTGTGGATGGTTTAAGTATCATTTCTTTGCAGAAATGCTTGAATTTAGACACATTTGAGTTCTTTACAGCATTATTTGCCTATTAAAGGTCTATGCTCAACAACTTAAACAGTGTCATTGTTTTTTATGCCATTCAGAAATGGACTTGCTGCTGTGCTCTGGATTATTGCCCTGCTGCATAACCCTAAAATGTTTTAGCTAAAGATCCTAACTGATGATTGGATATTTTGTTAGAGAGCAGAATTCATGGTGTGCTTTCCAGGCTATGCAACAAAAAAGCAGCCCAATACTAGAGCTCTACCCACACCAGGATTGTTGGTTTCATGGTACCGTCCAGAAATAATGTCTTTATCTATGCAAGACTTAACAGGAAGCATAACATTCAAAGAGTTTAGTTTCTGTCTCTCAGCCGAGAGAATGGTTCCCTAAACGTCTCAATCAGATGTTGCTGTTTTTTGTTTTTACGACCCGCATAAGACTCCTTTTTGTCTCTTTTGAGCAGCAGAGGTGCAATATTTCCTCTATTTATCTGTTTACAGGGAAATGACTTAGCTGGTGTTGTTCTGGGTTCTTTTTTGACCCACTGGATTTGTCATCTAACATGTTTTCTCCATTTGTAAAGTATGGCTCTCATTGTGGTCCTCTGTAATCCCAACAGTTCAGAAAAAGCTCTCTAAATAAAAATTTCCAGACTGACTGAAGTAAACACTCTTTCTTATCTACTCTTGAATTAATTTGAAAAAATGCATGCTGAGGTGCTTTTTTAAAAACATTTTAACTTAATTCATGCTGTCAGAAAGCTTCTATTTATTACATTTCTTCAGGCTGTAAGCAGGCTGGGTGTGCTAAGTAAAACAGGTCAGTTTTTTTCAACTGGTTAAAAAAAATTTAATGTCTTTCCCTCAACAATAGCAATAATTATCTCAAAACTGTATTTTAATATTTACTTGGGTTATCTTTGACTGATATTTAAATTATGTTTTTTAATCAATAACCTTCAATTGTGACAACAAAATGTAGAAACAAGGGAAATCTGTAAGAAGGCAAATACTTTTCACAGCACTGCAGAAACAAGAGCCTGTGCAGGATAAAAAATCGACAGTTTGAGCATATGTGTTTGAGGTATTTGCTTGTTATGTGTTAGCAATGCAAGAGAGAGAAGAGCACACAGTCATCCGCTTCAGTAAGGACGATGCAGCAATGAGACAATAGGTCTATTTCAAAACCCAAATCCTATTTTTATTGATTTTTTTTTTTACTCAGACAATCTTCCTTTAACATTGTAGTCCTGCTTTCTGCCAGGATCCCAGCTGTAAGTATTTGTATTGTGTCGTGGATGGACAATATGCTGACCTTTCCCCTCTGGGACCAGAGTGGAGGGTCCAGCTGTCCGTGAGGGAGCAGCCCGTTCTCCAAGCAAGAGAGGAACTGTAGTAAATGGCCTCCTCTGGGGAAACGAAGCGGAGGTCTTTGGATCCCATCCTGACTGACAAGCACCACCGTTCCCCCACTGTCCACTACAGGACACAGATGTATGACAACCTATCAAACCCTTCATACTTACAAGAGATCATCAATACACAGCTACAAGTCTTTACTGCAAATCATTTGTTAAAGGTATAGTGGAGGATGTTCTTTTTCCGGGTTGTTCATCAACATAAGTGGTCTTCCTATTTGTCAGTTTTTCTGGTGATATGTAAGGCCGTCCTACGTGAAAAATTTTAAATCTTTTATGCAAACAGCACCTTTTAAACAGAGCGTGCACAAGGAGAAATGGGCTCATACAGGCTCTAACACGCATTTAATAGGCGTTCCGTCTCAAGAATGGGTTCAGGGTTGTACATGTGCATTTTTTCTCTTAAGTGGAGAGGGAAGGTCTTTTCAAAAAATTATGAAAATCCTTCACTATACCTCTAAGGCCAAGATTTTAAGTAGACAGTTATACCTTGCTGATGGCAATGCAAATATACAATCTCCTCAAAATTGATTGTCATGGCATAGTCCCAGTATACACTGAAAAAAACACAGATAAAACAGCAGTCATTGAAGCAGAAACCGATTCTAATATTAATACTTAAAGTTAAAAGAAAGAAAAGCATAAATTAGGATTGGGTCAGTAAAATAAGAATAAAAAAAAAACACTTTGTGGACCTCTGTTTTTATCCTGAGGAAAAAAAAACATCAGCACAGCAGCATGCACATAAAAAAGCCAAGATTGATTAGTTTGTTGCCGGTAACCATGTGAAAGCCTTAGAAGATAACACGGTTTTGCTGGTTTGATAGATTTCTAGCAGTGTTGCAGTCAATAAGCCATCTGTTGGCTGCTGGTAAGCTGAAAACAGGCTTCATCAGATCACCAGCAGTAACTCAGAGCGCTGAGCCCCCCCCAAGGAGAAACACACTACATTATTCAGTGACACAGTGTTATAAAAACAGCACAGCTAGTGAAAAAAGCAAAATTACAAACAGACTAAAAAATGCAGACACGCTTAGGAAAAGAACAGCATATTGATATTTGTTATTCTCAGAATAATGCATTATCACCTAAATTATTTTGCACCTGCGTTCGTAGTCCAAGTCAGCAACAGACCCGTTCATGAGCTGGTTGGGGGTCCATTTCAGTGTCATGAGGTCAGCAGTCTGGTGCAGAGAAAGATAACCGGGGATAGCCTCCATGTCGTCCCTCTAAAGCAGGAGCAACATGGCAGTTATGTCAGCAAACATCAAATGTAAGAAAAAAAAAGGTCAACCACATTATATTACATTCCAATCAATACATACTTGTAAAGAGAAAGAGAAATTATAAACATATTTTGATAAATGAAAAAATTTGTGGAAGTACATGTATTCTGACCCCTCTACATTAAATCTAGTGAAAGTTCACAGTCTTTAGAAAACCTCTGCTAAGCAAATAGTGGACGATTTCTGGTGAAAGTCTTATCAAATTTCCATATTTAAACACAAGTGTTCTTTAAAGGTTTCACAGGTTTGTATCAGAACATTAGTGAACAAAGAAGCATGACAAAGACCAAGGAATATGCTACTGTAGGCTTAAACAACTCAGAATAACATGTTAAATGTATCTTTAAAATAAGAAAGAGTAAAGCACGTCTGCGAAACCTAAGGAGCCAGCCATCCACCGAAAGTGACAGGCCAGGTGAAGAGAATCAGAGATCACATTTATAACGCTTGCATATTCACAAAACTGGACAAGAAGCTGTACGAAAAAAAAAAAAAAGTGAGAATCTGTGATCCCTCATGTCAACTCTGACCATACAGGTACACACATTTTAGAGACAGGGATGCTGGCAGCACAGATGTTGACTGAGGTTGAAAGCTAAAGCCAGTTTGCATCATAATTTATGATTTTTACCAGACTGTGTTATTTGTCTGTCTTTCAAATGTACTTGTTGGAATGGGATAATTTACATTAAGCTATATTAAAGTGGTATAACCGGTGACTTGAAGTCAAAAGAAGCTTAAGCTATTGTACCAGCAACTCACAAAATTTAGTCTGTTTGTATAATTGGTTGTGAAAAAGTAAACTTGCATCTGAAACTAGAGCAGAAGGTGATTTTACACTTTTCTGGTTTTATTTTTTATTTGTGAAACTTTATAAAAACCAGCTTTGATTTTCATTCTTTTTAGAACTTTTCACAATTTATTTGCTGCTCTTTCATTATCTAATACAAATAAAGCAAGACAGAAAGTGTAACATTTTAAGATGTTATTCTTGATATGTTACATTAGTCTACATTAGTAGCAGACTGTATGTAGCATGTGTCTGAGGATTCAGGTTTACCGGTTGCACCAGCACATTGTTCTTGCCAAAAAGCAGCGTGGCTCTGCTGTTCTGATGAAGTGACTCCACGTATTCTCGAGCTGACGGGGAGGGTGAAGGGCGCTCATCCATGCTGCTGCTGGAGTGTCGCTTCTGGATCTGTGCAATCACAAAACAGACCGATGACTCACACTTACTTGTTCGTGTACATCAATATAGCTGTCCTTATGCATCTTGTTTTCTTCCAAACACACATATGCATAGAGCTTCTTGGCACACGAATGTTATAGAGCACTTTGCTTTGTAAGATAGGCCAAGCTGACCTGCTTCACTGACAGCATAATGGATGAATAAGTGTGAAGGACTGAGATACACCCTGTTCCAGCTCCTGGGACGCACTGTGCCTCACTTAATGCATCTCAAGAGGAAATGTCTGCTAATACAGCTGATCTATCAGGGTAAAAAGCTGAAATGTGGATAAGAAGATTAAAAAGAACCTGTGAGATTTCAAACTTACACACAGTGCAGGTCTTTTTGTGGGAGAATCCTGCCTGCAGATGCCGCTATGAATGCGATGTCTCTGAACCAACTCGTCAGCCGACGGGTCTGTCCAGAAGTGATCTGCAGTCTTCATCTTTGTGTACTCCAAAGCACAAGGTCCAACTGTTAGAAGGAGGCAGCAAAACAGAGCTGGGGAATAATCTGTCTTAAAATGAAACGGTAGTTTTTTTTCTTATATCAAGAGGTATATTTTTTCTTCAGAATCAGAATTACTTTATTAATCCCTTGCAGGAAATTATTTTCTTGCAGTGCAACCATTTACAGAAGAAGAAAAATAAAATATAGTATAAGACACTAAAATTACAGCCTCTCCCCCATAAACATTGATAAGAATAAAAAAAGAAAAGGATCTCAGTAAATACAATTAACAGTATTTAGAATTTACAGTGCTGCTCATTACATTTATTTACTATTATTGCACAGGACCGTGTTATTGCACATATTGAAGTAATGAAATAAGTAAATAATTGTTGGGATCTGGAGATCTGCCACCTGTCACCAGCAGAGAGCGCTGTGGGCTTCCTGGGCTGGAGTCCTCAGCACACCTGAGGATCATCAGCTCATCATAAGACCTTCCTACATAAGCAGCAGTCAGACCTTCCTTCGACGCCGGAGTGTTGACCTAGTTTGGTTAGCGAACCTGAGCCTCTGAAAACTTTGAGAACACTGGTTGTCTCTTGAGAGAAACTAGCTTTCTAACCTGCCTCTGTCTTTTGCTCACAGAAAACCCGACTGAGGTCTGAAGCTCTGGATGAGCATAACCTGGAAACCTGCCTGCCTGCCCACGTAAGCCAAACCTGAAGATCTCAGTTTTGGATTCCTTCACCAGTTCTTGGGAAAGAGCTAGGAAACAAACCCAAGTCTGAGACTCTCTAGCTCGAAGCTAGACGCTGCTGCTGCTGAACTCCCTGCAACCCCCACAGACTCTGGACCCAACCGGTTCCTCCTCTCACGGATCTGTTAGAACCTCTTCAAGGTATTATCTGAATTCTACTCACTCGTCAAGCCAACAACTGCCTGGCTAACCAAACTCTCATCTCTCCAGATATTAGTGAATCCAGTCCCGGACCTGCACCAGAACCAGATCCTGCATAATCCTGTGTATTTCCATAATAAACACTGTTAAACTTTATTCTGTCTCCAGTGGTGTTCTGCATGTGGGTTAAATCCATTAAGCCTATCATGACACTAATAATTAATGGATTTAAATAACTGTTAGAGAGATGAATTATACAGTATGATGGCCACAGGCATGAATGACATCCTGTGGCGCTCTGTGATGCAGCGTGGTGAAATGAGTTACTGACTGAAGGTGCTTCTGTGGGTGACCAGCACATCATGAAGAGGATGTGCAGAACTGTCCAGCATGGATTTTATACCGGCCAACATTCTCCTCTCCGACACTGCTGTCATAGATTTAAGATTTTATGTTTTCAATATCTAGGTTTTATCATATAGCTAAATTAGAAAAATGAAGACATTCAAAATTCAGTTCTTTAATATTGATGTCAAACCTTTTCATTTTTCCCTGACAGGGATAGTGATATGATCGGCTTTCAGCATCTTTAGCTTTCTTTCTTATTAAACATAAAACAATTATGCATATTTCTGCTGCCTAATCTTTAAGCTAGTTTTGCTCTGATCGAATAGTATTATTTTGGTGAAATTGTACTTTTGGTCACCAGTTTCTGATATTGCTTAGAAGAACTTTTTCCCCCTCTCCAGTTTCAGTTATGGCATGATTTAGATGTTTCTTACATGGTCAGCCCATATTAGGTTTCCCCAGGGAGTATCAGTTAGATCTGGACTTTGACTAGGCCCAGAATCCTTTCATTTCTTAGTTCTCAACCACTATTGCGTATATATATATATATTTACTTGGATCTTATCATCATGTTGCTGCAGTACTGCTTTATCTTTTATCTTTTGTTTGTTACCTCTGCCAAGGAGATTATGTCAGTTTGTCAGTTTGCAGAAATTGCGAGAAATTGCATGTGTTGGAAATGTTTACATATTGGCGATACTCCAGATCACCATCTGGATCAAGGAATTCATTGAAAGATTCTGTAAAGATTCTGTTGTTAACTTAAGAATGACAATATTTTGGGGGAAATGAGCAACTTGGCGGAGGTCTGCGCTCTCTGAGTGAATTTATAGCTTTGTTTTGATTTCAAATTAAATCCACATTTTAGCAGGGGAAGTGTCCATGACGTCTAAGAAGTACATTCAAACCAGACAAAATTCCTACTTCAAAAAGATGAGTATTTACCAGTTATTTTTACACCATAATGAAGGACATTGCTAACATATAACAAGTACAACATTACAGAAAAAGAAGCTAAAAACAGCTATGAATCATGGGAGTGAAAGCATCATGGTCTTGTGCAGCTCACCTTCACAGAGTACACCATGAATCCACCCTTTTACCAGGGGATGTTAAGGGAAAATATCTAACTTGCTGTTAAAAAGCAGAATTGGACCCAAAACACAACAATAACCAGAAACAAACCCTACCAAGACATGGTAAGTAATTATGAAATGGAAAG